TTTTTTTAAGGAATTTGATCGCTGTCGTCATAATTTTACTTGACATTATAACTTCTAATTCGATAGCAAGGAATAATAACTAGGCATGTCAACATCAATTATCAGGCACCGTAACTTCATTCCATTTGATCTAAAAGCATTTTAGTGCCACGTGAGAAGGATTTGCTTACCCTTCCGGCGCACCTTAGATCACCTCCAGTTTTTGAATGGGTTCGTGTTGATCAGTCTTTAGTTTTATACGTTGTGTGTTGTGTACTGTTGAGTGTTGTGTACTGTTATTTGTCTTTTCGTCGTTTTTCGTTTTCCCAAGGCATTGTTAGTTTGTTTTCGATTTATGAATACTCCTTTGGCACCTTTCGCCTCTCTTGTTCATTCAATTATCTACATAAAAAGTTTTCTATATGAGTTGCAGCTGATATTTTGTAAAACATTCTAATATATTTTTCCTGCTCTTAAGTGTTATATATTGTAAAAAGTGTTAATTATATTTTCCAATTTTAAACAACATATTTTGTTGATGAGGGAAAGAACAAAGGCATGATAAGAGCTATAAGTTTACCCTTAAATTGTCAAATCATCAAAAGTATCCAAGCCATTCAAATCATGTTAATTTCATTAACAAACAAACAGGTGTATTAAACCTTGCAGAACGTGGGACAAACTGGTGCCAATTTAACATATATCTCATATTGTTCAATCCATTTGAATTCCTACCTTAATGAAAATTTCTGGAGATGTGGCGTATACCTTATTAAGGCACCAACAAGATAATACAATCAAAGAAAAGATAACTACAGTTCAATATGCGGTCTTAGCTTTAATTATCTGTATACAATAGCATTTTATTTTTAATCTAAACTTATTTTCTTTACCAACAATACAGTACGTAAAACTGAAATGTATATTTTGAAGCGGCTTTAATTGCTTGCATATGCCTCAACTCTCAGTGATACAACGTGAAAATACAAAATAGACATTTGCAATTTTTTTAAGAATTAATACAGTTTATCTGTTTTTGTCTTTTTGCTTTAATTTGAAGTTATGTTTCTATTGACATAACTGTATGGACGGATAAGACCTACAACAAATAGTTTGACATATATGTTTATGAGCATGTGTCAAATCATGAAGCGCATCAGTTCTTGTGTCTAGTTCTGTCCGAACAAAGAAGCGGAAGAAACTTCTACAAACAAAATTCGCAAATCAAAGAGAGACCGACAAAACTGTGACATATTTTTATTAGTTTGACTTTAATTGATGATTACTATGCATTATTTAGGCGTCGTCAGTTGTTTAAAAAGTAGTGTTGCTCTTCACATTAGGGAAGAATTGTTCAAGCTATTTCAAGCATAGTTGAATTCGTGGAAAATTGTTCATTTCTACCTCCTTTTTTTATTATTTTTAGCCTTCTCTTGATGAAATATCTCTGGACTGATTTTACTGTTACAACAGATAGATATTAGTACATGAATAAGAATAGGATGTTAGTTTTAAAATATACTTTTTTTCATATTTCATTGCATACTTAACGTTTGATAAGGTAATAAATAATTTCCTGTTTCAGCAATCAAACAAAGTGAATTTCCTGTTTCTTTCTACATACTCTAATTTATTTTCTGTAAACTTATAAGAGTTCAAACCGTTGAGAGTTTACGCATTTTAACCTATTTTAGGTCATCAATGTTCCTTGCTTTGGTAATTATTTTGACTTACCAAACTGCTTAATCCGAGCGCCACTGACGAGTCTAGTGTACACGAACCGCTTGTCTTGCGTATTAGATTATACGCCTGGTATATTTGTGGATATTTTACCTTACTTATTGGTCAGTAGGGTTCAGATAAGATTTACTGAATTGATAATCAAATTCTAAAATATCACACAAAATCGATATCGGTCATTGAATATTTGTAAATACTTATAAAAATACATTCTAATCAGTTTTATATAGTTCTTACGCATTAAAGCAAAAAATGGTCTTTATTAAAATTAAAAACACGGTGTATCCTACATATCTATAATTCAGTTTACGGTTTTTGCCATACTTTGTTGGTTTGTTTTGTTTTACTTTTACATGTTTTAGGATTTTTATTTATAATACTGTTGTATCGAGCTTCACTGAAGAAACATTTATCTAAAAGTCGATATGCACAAGTTCTACAGTAGAATTTGTATGGTAAATGCTATAATCAAATAACAAGCAGTCAAAATGTAAAATAGAATTATGATTGGCATACTATTAATATTTATAAATTAAATGATAACTGATCAATGATCTATTAGTAGATGATGGATGAGGAAGTCATAAGAAAAATCTAAAAGTGTTTTCATTACCAAGGAAGTTTAAACTTAAATAAAGGAAATGTAAAACCCCGTAATATGCAATTTCTACTTTGTGACATTAAATCTGGAAAAAAACACCATGAAGTTTATAATATAACTTTGAATATGAATGATAATATTTAAGGTCAGTGTTTAGTTGTATTGATCAAATTGTAATTAGTTTAAATAAGTAAGTAATCTTGTAAAAAATAGACAATCAAAACAAGTTTACATTATTTTAAAATAGAAAGATTCTACCAGTAAATTCAATGTCTTGAGGTCTGGGAGTTAGATAACTCAATTAACAATGTTAAAAGTGATTGTATATTTGATATAAATATATTGACTGAAATGTTTAACAGCTATCTTTAATATTCTAAATTTGAACCTAAAATTAAGATACTATTCCTGTGATTTTTTATTGAAATTAGGATTATTGAAATAAGTGCAAGATTGCATTTTGAAATATTACGATGACGATTTTCCAAAAATCTATAAAAAACAAAGTATTAAGATATCAATTTGTCACCAAACTTCATCAATTTTGAAAGAGAATTTAAAACCTTCAATTGACCAATCCAGAAATGCTATGGGTATCTTGGGGAAGTCATTTATCGAAATAGAATAGAGAATAGAAACTGGAAAGGTGTCAAAGAGACAACAACCTGACCAAGGCCACCAATGGGTGTTCACGCAGATAGAAAATCCTGCATCCGGAGTCGGGCCTCAATAGGCCCCTAAATAATAATGTATACTAGTTCAGCGATATGACGTCACATCGAACTCCAAAACATATAAATGAACCAATATCTAAAAAACAAACACACAAGACTAACAAAGGCTTGGGGTTCTTGACTTGGAACAGCCGCAAAAATAAGCGGGTTTAAACATATTTTGTAAAATCTCAACCATTCCCCTACACCTCTAGCAAATGTAGAATAAACAAACACACAGCAAAACGCATAGTATAATTCATCTTTTAAGCAAATTAGGATTTGGATATTTAATAGTTTGGCATCGAACTTCCCTGGAGGAACATAAATAGTCGAGATTTATATATCGTACAGTAAAATTGGTATGGTAAATGATTTTATTTATCAACAAGAAGTCAAAACGTAATATAATTGTCACACTGTTCATATTTATGAATACAATGATACTTTGATGAATCTATTAGTCGGAATTATGGATGAGGAAGTTACAATAACAAATTAAAGTGTTTTGATTTATACAGGAAGTAAAAACTCCAATAAATCAAAATTTATAACTTCTTATCTAATTTCTACTTTTTTACATTATATCTGGAAAAAACAAGAAGAAATTGATAAATAAATAGCTTTGAATATAAATAATCATATTAAAATTGGGTTACTGAAAGTGCAAAATCATGAAATTGAAATATGCCGGTCAATTTTTTTTTTCAACAAATCTATAAAAAAAGTATTCAGATATCAATTTTTTTATAAGGGCTGTCAACAAACTTTATCAACTTTGAAAGAGAATTTTAATTTTAATTGACCAATCAAGAAATACTGGTTATGTCAATGTCTTTGACAAAGTTATTTGTCAAACGGTCACTTTCGATGAAATTAGTATTGCTCAACCATTTCATCGTCATCCGCATGAATTGAAGTTGAATTTCAGAATTGGTTGATTTTTATTGTTGTTTTAGTCAGGTAGATTGTGTTAAATAGTATGGTAAATCTTTAATACATCTTTTACAGGCAGGTGAAGAGAGATCGAAATGAAATACATAGTAATTTTAAAGTTTTGTTTACTGTTATATTTCTTAAAAGACATAGTAAAAACAGAGTCAGTCAAATCTGAACTTGTCTTCCCGTGTTCAAACTTTACCGATCAAGAAGAACTGTATGTAGACTGTTCTCATAGAAACTTAACAAATATTCCACTTTTGCCAGACAATACTGTTCACCTTTATTTACAACACAATTTCCTGATGCAAATACCAGATAATACCTTCAAAAACATGACAAATCTTATTACGTTAGATTTATCATTTAACAGATTGGTTTTAGATAACAAGCAGGCATTCATTGGTCTTCGAAACCTGCAAATTCTTAAACTCGGAAACAATATAATCTATCAAATACCAAATAAAACCTTTGAAAATATGTTAAGCCTTAGAAAGCTTGAAATGTCGTTTTGTTATTTTTCAACATTAAATGAAGAAACATTTTCTGGGCTTGAGAACCTCTCACATCTTACACTAAACAACAACGTTTTGGATTACAATACAAAACAACTTCCGAGAGGAAGCTTTAAGGCTTTGAAATCGTTGAAACAGCTTTCTATTCAAAACAACAATTTGGCATCGACGACTAAAATTTTCCCAGATGAAACAATTGCAGATTTAATCCAATTAGAAGTATTGGAGTTAGATGTCAGCTGTGAGGATCATCACCGGCAGTTATTTTACAATCTCCGAACACTAAATTTTAGTATTTGTGGTTACGTGTATCTCAATAATGATACATTCAAGCATACACCTCATTTGACTAATGTCTACATCAGCAAGTGCGGCATTCTACGGATCGATGGGTTAAAAGCGTTTTCCAAGCTCAAAAGATTGATAGTTTTAGAATTAGATGTTGATATCACTGAAGGAAGAATGAAGAAATCATTGATGGTGGAGGTGACTCGGACATCAAATCAGAAATTTAAAGATAGTTATATTGTCGATATGCCACAAGCACGTTCTACATTTCCATGGAAACAAATAAATGATGCACTCTTCAGTACACCAATTTATGAATTGTCTTTTACAAAGAACCGAGACGTGGTGGTTTTCCCGAAAAAACGTAGAATACGGGCACCACCTAGTCTTCGAAGTCTAGCTTTCAGTAATTGTGGTTTCCGTCAGATATTGCTGAATCTTACATACGTGACAACACTAAAAATCGATTGGAACCAACTCGGAAATTATCTAGCGAACAACACTTATATGATGACGAAAACAAGTAGACTAGAGTTCATCTCTCTCTCAAACAATTCAATTTATAATCTCTATTCTCAAATATTCAATGACCAACCGCACTTGAAAGTCATTGACTTAAGTCATAACTTCCTCAAACATGTCGACTTTGGCTTATTAAAGATGGTTAATTTAGAGATGTTAAATCTTACAAATAACTCAATAAAGTTTTTTAGTGATAATTCAATGAAAAATATAGATAGCATTATTAAATATAATACCAAAATAAAAATTAACCTCAGTGGAAATATTCTACGCTGTGTCTGTTCGTTACTTCCTTATTTGAAATGGATGATTAATATTCGTGAACATTTTGTACATTTTAACCAATACAAGTGCGTTCTAGAAAACGGGAGCCTGTCAATATCAAATTCGTTTGAGGATATTATACTTCATCTTCAAACAGACTGCGTTAATCACTTTCATTTGGTAGTTGGCGTGTCTTTTTCTTTAATTGGATTTATCACAATTTTAATATCAGCTCTCATTTATAGACACAGGTGGAAACTCCGCTTCTTATTTTATACAGCAAAATTGAGATATTCCTCCCACAATAACATGGACGATCGTGGACAATACGTCTACGATGCTTTTATATCTTACTCCGACGAAATTCGAACGTTTGTTACAAAAGACTGTATCGATAATCTTGAACGAGATGGACATTTTAAACTATGTATACATCATCGAGACTTTCTTCCGGGAGCAGCCATAAATGACAATATCACCCAAGCCATCCAACGCAGCCGAAAAACAATCTGCATCATAACTAGATCTTTCATCGAATCGTATTACTGCATGTTTGAACTGAATATGGCGAGGATGGAAAGTATTCACAGAAAAAAAGACAAAAGTCTAATTTTTCTTGTGTTTTATGATCAACTGCAACCTGAGGAGTTACCATTAGTATTATATGAAATTATTCAGAAAAAATCATATATTGAATACCCAAATGATGTGCACGGAAATTTTATTTTCTGGGAGAAAATCAAAGACGCTATCAATGTATAGAAGAGAAATTATCAATCTGACTACAATTAAAAACTACCAAAATCAAATATTTCCAAATGAGTATCAACGCAAGACAAATTAAATAAGTCGCTTTTTTAAACAGCAAATATTTTGAGGTTGGAGAGTTTGCGATAGAGCAGATATACTAGGACTGTGTCTTAATAAAATCGTCATTTTATTTATTTAAGTGCTTTGTGAGGAGATTAAGAAATTACGTATTTCGTCATTGATGTAGGATTGGTACAGCTTTGGAATTATACCCAATGCTATTTAGGCAATATTGAAACAACTTTAGATTACAAAAAAAAAAAAAAAAACAGTTCTTACGACACCCTCCTAGGTTTGACTATCACTCACTAGCAAGTCATCGAAATGTTATTAGTCGTAAAATATATCATGTAACAGGTGTAATATGTTTATTACTCAGAAATTTTTACTGCAATGAAATATAGGATTAATTTCCTACAACTGTCAATTCGAGGGAATATTTTTCGACCCTTAGGTGGTAGTACAACTCACATGACGCATATTCGATGGTCCTTTTCATTCAGATTTTGATGCTTGAAATATCTCAAATTCATTATCTGAAACAATAAAATTATGAAAGGAAATTCTTTTTGTAAATATATATATCAAACTTATTACATAAACCTATTAGTCATTTTTGTCTCCGTTTTGTTCTTTTTGTATTTAGTTCCTTTTTTGTCTTATAAATACACTGTTTACCTGTGACGTAAAAGATGCTAAGAAGTGTCTTTTGGTTCGACATTTATTTCTCGTCAAAAAGAGGCGGAGCAATCAAAATTCCTACGTCTAAGAAAGACCGTCAAAATCATGGAAAAAACAAAAACAAAGACAAATAGCAGTCTAGAAAACACTACACAGAAAAATAAAGACTGAGCAACACGAACCTCAGAAAAAAGGGGGTTTTCCAAAAAAAAAATGATAGTGGAGTTCATCTTTATCCACAATTTGTTGGATAATGCATCTAGAATAATTGGTTAATTTTAAGGATGTGTGTTAAACACATTCAGTTGATATGGAATAATGGGGCGTACTGGAAATAAGGGAGCAATTTCATCAGATTATGTTATCATTAGTATTACTAGAAAACACCCTAGACATCGCGGATCTGTGACTAAATTGAAGTACCTACGCCTTAGTTTAAGCACGGGGGGTTCACTTCCTATTATTGGGTGTACGGGGATGTGCCAAAAATACGGGTCATAATTTTGAAAGATTTTATATAAAAATGACCCTCCTTTTAATAACATCCCATATTAAAATGCATTTACATTTGATAACTGTATATTGATTTGGATTTGGGGTTTGTATGATCTAGATATCATATATAAATATGCATTGAGAATGTTACATTATTAATGGTCAAATGCAATGTTAAATTAAATCAATTCATTTGAAAGTTCACCTTTTAAATAAGTTCCCAAATGAACCCCGGAAATTTGTCTCCTGATTTGTATATAAGTATAGGTCATTCTTTCTTAAATATTTATATAACTATAGGTACTGAATTTCGGTGGATGTTATATTAAAATGGGTACGTTTTTTGAGGCAAAAATGGCACACCCCTACCATAAAATGTCGATGTTACCTCCTGAGATTTTGAGCCTGGATTTTTAGTATTCGTATTGTCATCTGATAAAGTCGTGCTGATTATAAGGTGCATAGTTTTCTCTGCTATCAAAATCTTTCTGTTTGAACCCGTCCTGGTTTTTTTACTACAACCGGAAAACTCATGTGACAAAGATTGAATTTAGTAGTAGTAATCCCTGTATAATGTTCATGACCTCGTTATTTTAGTATTACAGATTTCGCGGACAGTACGTCGACTGAGCATGCGTGATAGCGTACAAGACACGGATCTATAACGGTCTCCGAATTTGGATATTTTCTCAAAAATTTGTAAGGGTTCCGCGCTACCCAGTATCTCGCCTACTGTTGCTGTTGTCTATTTTATCTTTTGATTGTAAGAAGCCTCTGTCCAAGTTTGGTAAAAATCCAGGATGTTATGAATCTAATAAATGTTTTAAAAACTTAAACTGCAGACTGTATGTAATGTTAACTGGAAAAAAAACTAAGTCCATTGATAAGTAATATACGGAAAAACAGGAAATAATTTTTTACAAAATTTCCTTCTAAATACTAGCTTTTGGTCATAAACAAGCTTCTGTTCAAGTTTGGTACAAATATAGGATAGTTTAAGAAAGTTATTTAAATTTCAAAAACTTTAACCACAGAGTGAATATTTGTGCACGATGCCGCCGCCGACGACGACGACGACGACGACGCCGACAACGGAATGTAGGATCGCTATGTCTCGTTTTTGCGACAAAAGTCGTAGGCTCGACAAAAATTGGCGTTTTCTGAGGGAAAAAAATAATGTTTCAAAGATAAATTTAGGAAGTACAAAACACTACATTTATACGTCATATCACAAATATTTCCGACTTTTTATGGTTTCTGAGGAGTTGCGGTCTCTTCCTTTAGTAGTATAGATAGGATTGAAGTGCATGAATCTTGCATTATATTTTAAACTCAATTATGTGTTATTTTCGCAGGCTTTTGTTGGTGTTAGTGTATGGAAAACGGTAAATGTTTGTCAGATTTGTTAATAAAAGGAAAGAAGCATGATTATATGCCCCTTTTTCCGTTGCTTCTTGTTATTTACTATATTTGTATGATAGGTAATTAATAAAGTGTTTTATACATGTTATATACGGAAGTGGTACCTATTACTGTAAATTTAGAAATTATTGTGAGGTTTTTATAAATGTGAATATTACGACTTGGTGAGTATCGCAATAATAAGAACGCGCATTCTGAAACACATAATTGTATGCAGATTTTCCTAAATTGCAATAATTAATCTCGCATTTTTGTCTATTCTTCAAATTAAAATCGAAATAATAAATGCACGCAATAATTTCTGAATTTACAGTACATACGTTTTAAACCTGAATTGAAATCCTTTGTTTTGGAACGTTTTCTATGTTGTGTTTTATGGAGAAAATTTTCATCAAATTTGAGTATAAAATATGATAGATCTGTTTATGTTTAAGAGTTGATGAAAAATAAAAAGAGTTGATGAAAAATAAAAAGAGTTGAAATTCATTGATCATTGTCATTGTGGCTGTGGTAAAAAGAGAAGTTAAAAATTAAAAAATAATATCGGTTTACGTCCGTGTACATTCACGCCAACCATTTTTCATTTTAAGATGAAAAATAGATTTTGCAAATTGCTCTGCAACTTTTAAAGGTAGTTGGTTTGAAAAATGTAACAAAAATCTATTGAAGTCACTTTCGAAAAACCATTTTCTCTATGAGATTTGAAAATTGTTATTTTCATGAAATTATATTTTTGATTTCACGAAGATATTGCAACAAATATCAATAAGTTTGTGCTAAAAATGATTTTATTTTGTCAAAAGTTTAAATACATTAAAACATTTGTATTTGCTTGTTTTAGAAAACAAAACATATTTCAATCTCATTCTTAAAAACAAATATTGAAAATGCTGACCTTAAGCATTTTTCAATTTCACTTACAATATTGAAAAATGAAAAATGCTCTAACGTGGAGCATTTTTTCAATTCAACTTACAATATTGAAAAATGAAAAATACTCTAGTGTGGAGCATTTTTCAATTTGACTTCAAATATTGAAAAATGAAAAATGCTCCAACGTGGAGCATTTTTCAATTTGACGTTTGATATTGAAAAATGAAAAATTCTCCAATTTTTCTTTTTTCATTTTGCTGTGCAATATTCAAATTTGAAAAATTTTCATTATTTAAATGTCTAATAATGAGAACGAAATGTAATTTGTTTCAATATAGGCGTTTTAAATGTTTAAATGTTGACACTTTTTATTAAATGTTTTACTATTTCCGTTTTCTTTTTTCTTGTTTTAAGCGCAATATCTTGAAGATCTTTTTAAGGTGTGTGTGTTTGTGTGAACTATTAGTGGTATCAACAAATTCCAATGAAGAATGGTACACTGACAAGTACGATAATGACCACAAAAAATCATTCTTTCTTTTTATCTATATATCTAGCTGTCTTTGTAGCTACATGTTTATATCTATCTTTCGATCTGTCAATCTGTCATTCATTGTTTCTACCTATCTGTCTATCTATCTGACTTTTGTTTATCTTTGTCTTTTCTTTCTTTGAATTGCCGTGGTTGAAATCTTTAATTTAGTTCTCTCGAAGTGAAGAAGTCACTTGTTTACATACATGTACATGTTGTAAGAATGGAAGAACTTTTAGACCATCGATGTTTGATTCAACAAATGATACTTGACGGAAGAACACACCAAGACATTTCTCAACACTTGACTTCTTTAGGAATCAAGCATGTATCAGCGCGAACAATAAGCCGTTTTTGTTCTGAAAATGGAATTACTAGGCGATGCGGAGTAGACGAAGGAGCATTAAACCATATCGTGGCTGAATGTGTAAAACATGTTAGAAAAGAAGGGAAAATATTAGAATATAAGATATTGTCTATGTCAGTTTCTGTACATGTTCAAGGAGGAGGGTTCGCGGGTGGAGTGGGGTGGGGAGGGATGGGTGTAGATGTTATATTATTCTGATCACTGCGCTAGTATTTGTTTTCAAATTTGTATTTTTCTGCATTGTACAGCATTTCCTAATTTTGAATCTGTTTAATGCAAACTTGTTTTTCCCAAGCTTATAATATTCACAATTCTCTGTCGCAGAATATCAAATAAGCATCATCTTATTAAAGAAATATGAAAGTAACTTGCATGCATGTATGTGTGGTAAATGTATATTTCGAAGGATGAATGACTTCTTATTTTTGTTTTTATCGAAAAAAAAATGTAGTAAAGAATATATCATAAATATGTGAATAGTATTTCAACAAACATAAAACAGTTCCCATGAAGTTCTGTTTTATGTACATTCTATTACCTTTTATTCAATATGATTTTACATCTTTAATATGTGAAAGCAAA